GGAGGAGGAGGAGGAGGAGGAGGAGGAGGAGGGAGGGTCTCGGCTGGCGCCATGGGGCCGGGGGCCCGGGGCCGCCGCGGCCGCTCGATGTCGCCGCCACCGCCGCCGCCGCCGCCCAAGGGGACGCTGCCTCAGCTGCTGCTGCTGCCGCTGCTCGCGGGGCTGGGGGCTGCAGGTGAGGGCCGGGCGGGAGACGGGTGGGGAAATAGGGGGCCAGGACCCCCAGTTCTGGGGAGAGGATCCTGTGATCCGGGGACCCGAGGCCGGGAGGGTGCAGGAGCTGGGGACGGCGTGCCAGTCCCAGGAGGCGCAGGGACCCCGACTTGGGGGCGCAGGATCGCAGGGGCCTGCGGAGCAGAGACCTCCCGAGCCATTGAAGTCTGAGATGAAGAGGGCCCAGGGGTCCCAGACTCGGGGCTCGAGATGCGGGTTTCGGGGACTCAAGCTGTGGTAGGGGGCGCACCCCCATCCCAGCCGTGCCTGGGGTCCTGGTGAGACTCCGATGGGAATCCAGGGATCACCCCCCTGACCGAGGACCCCTCGCACAAAAGCCCCCAGCTCCCCGACCCCCGGGCCGCCGGGCCTGGCCGGGGGGGGGGCGGGGAGGGGCGCGAAGTTCTGGAGCTCAGAAAACTTCCCAGGCCGGCGCACCGCAAGACCCGGAGCCGGAGCGCGCAGACCGGAGCGGAGCTGAGCAGCGGGTGGCCCCCCTCCCCCGCGCGCCTCCACTCCCTCCGGACCCCGTGGCCACGGGACACGCCTCTGTATGGGTGGGGAAGGGGCGAGCGCACGCGGGCTCCCTCTTGGGCTGCGGCGCCCCCTCCCCAGCCCGCCGGGTCCCTGCCCCCCCCTTCTCCTCCTCCTCCTCTCCTCTCCCCTCCCCCGCTCGGGACAATGGCCGCGCCGTCTAGACACCCCCTCCCCCGGACCGGCCTCGCGCTTTCTTAGCCAGACAAAGCGGGACCCGCAGCGGGGCCGGAGCGGGGGCTGCAGGGGCGCCCCCACCCCAGCCCCCACCCAGCCCCCGGGAGGCCTGGCCAGCGGGGGAGGGGCCGGGGTCCCGGGCGCCACTGTGGAGCTCGGCGGTGGGGGTGCGGAGGGATCCGGCTCCCGGTCCTGGCCTGGGGGCCCCAGCGAGCTGGACGGAGCGGGAGCTCTGGGTAACACACTACAGAGATGCAAATGTGCACCGCTGGCAGACCCAGCGTGCACAAACACCGCGGACACTCAGCTCCAGCGAGACACACCCAGGTGCACACCGCGCACACACTGTATGTGTGCACGCACAGTCAAGGGTGGCCACACGTGTGGTGCATCACTGGTCTAAGGCCTGGCACACTTGATGCCTGCGCACAACTCAAACGCACTTTGAGACATGCTAGGCCGTGCCACATCCCATCATACCTGCAGATAGACACATTGGACACACACAGATGGACACCTATAGATAACAGTGCATACACACAAGAGATGCAGCTGTGCACATCTGTACACTCCTGTCTTTTTGTACAGTACACACACACACACACCACAGACACACACACAAATATAGGCAGCATGGACATGCCCAGGCAGATTCACATTTAGCTGCACAGGGAGCCGCCGGCAGGTGAGTGCTCAGTTCCCTGCACAGGTTGCCACAGACTTCCATGCACATGTGTATGCTCACACGGCTCCCCCCTCAGACGGCTCACAGCTCATTTCTCACAGACTTCCAGTGCGTACACAAACGCAAGCCCCGCTGGGGTGCTAGTGTCTCAACCCATTCTGTCATGTCATTCACTGTCTCTCTCTCTCTGTCTCTGACTTTTTCTATCTCTGCTTTTGAAATTTTATTTGAGACAAGGTCTGGCTATGTAGTCCAGGCTGGCCTCGAACTCATGGTAATCCTCCTGCCTCATTTTCTCAAGTGCTGGAATTATAGCCGTGCACTGCTATGCCTAACTCTAGTTTCTGCTTTGTCTGTTTTTTTCCATTGTCTTCCCCCTCCCACCTCTCTCTCTCTCTCTCTCTCTCTCTCTCTCTCACACACACACACACACACACACACACACACACACAGTGGCCTCATACCTGCCTGCTCGCACAATTTTCCACTAGCTCAGACCCTGCCACACCTCTCATCCATCTGGTAGGACAGTCAGACCAAACCACACCCAAGAGGGACACAGCCCTCAGGGATGGGGACACTGGACAGGCAGTATTTGTTTCTTTCCAGCTGCCCCTCCCCACCACACACACCCTCCTCCCACAACACCTGGAGCTGGTAGCTGGTTCTCCGACACGCACTCCTGGGTACCTGCCTTGGCCTCTCTCCCCAGGGCCACTTGGAAGCCACTCAGCTGGAGTAGATGCCCAGTGTCAGGGGAAGAGGAACCTATAGCCCCAGGACTTGCTGCCCCTCTATTAGCCCAAGTCCCCTGCAAGGAGCCGTAGACCTCCCTTTAACAACAGCACCCTCACTTCCTGACTGCACCCCCTTTTGCACCTCTTAGCTCTGGCAGCTTCCTGAGCCCCACATCTGGCATAAGCCAGTCCCTCCTCCTTCCCACCCCTGCCTTGTGGTTCCCAAGGCTCGAGCTGGCAGGGACAGCTGCATCCCCAACAGCTGGGGCTGGGGCAGGGGGCCGTGGGAACTGTGGATGGGGGCCTCTGTGCACCCACAGAGACACCCCCAGCCCGGTGCAGCTGTTGCCTGGCAGCAGGAGGGAGGGGGTCTGTCCCCGTGGGTTGAGTTCTGGGCGCCTGGCTGACCCCTACCTTCCTTCACCCTCTACACAGCCCCCGCTTGCCTGGACGGAAGCCCGTGCGCCAATGGAGGTCGCTGCACCCAGCTGCCCTCCCAGGAGGCTGCCTGCCTGTGAGTGCCTGGCCCACCGCCAACAGTGGGCCCGCGTGGGAGGGGAATCTGTCCTCTTTCTTTGCCTCCGTGTGCCATGTCCTACACGTGTGTGGCTAGGGCAGCCTCTCATGTTTCCCCCCTTGGGAATAAGCAGGCTCTGGGAGTCCATCTAGTGTGGGTTCAAATCCCACATCATGGTGCTGACTGGCTGGGAATGAATCCCTTACCATTTCCATTTTTATGGGCCTGGTAACCCCAGCTTCATAGGATTCTAGGCTTCCTAAGGTCACACATAAAGCCCTCACAGGAGGCAGTTATTTGAGTTGAGTGGTTGAGGGCAAAGGAGGCCTGTAAGAGTCCTCCTGGTCTGCCATTTTCTTTTCTTTATTTTAAAATTTTTATTATTATTATTATTTTGAGAAAGGGTCTTGTTATGTGGTTCAGACTGGGCTTCAAGTCATTGTGTAGCTCAGACTGGCCTCAAACTTGTGGCAATCCTCCCGATTTAGCCTCCTGAGTGCTGGGATTACAGGCCTGGCCCACCGTACCTGGATATCTGTCATTTTCTTGCTGGGTGACCTTGGACTAGTCACTTCCCTTCTCTGCATCTGTGAAAGGGGAGTGCTCTCCCTCACTGGCTTGTGACTGAAGGAACACCTCAAATTTAGTTGTTTCAAAACACAAGAAAGGGCAGAGGGCTGTGGGGTGGGCAGAGCAGGGGCTGGGGAAGAGCTGACAGAAGGGGTCAGCTCAGCTTGAATTCTGGGCTCTGGGATACCTTGAGCAAAGGCTTGAGGCTTTCTGAGCTCAATATTTGTACCTGAAAAATGGGGCAATAATCAGCCAGGCATGGTGGTGCATGCCTCCCTGCACTTGGGAGGCTGAGGCAGGTGGATTGCTGTGAGTTCAAGGCCAGCGGGAACTACAGAGCGAGACCCTGTCTCAAAACAACAACAACAAAATGGGGCAATAATAGTTCTCCCCTGGGCCGGGGATTTAGCTCAGTGGTTCCGCTGCCTGCCTCGCGAGTGCAAGGACCCAAGTTTGATCCCTGGTACCAAAAAAACAAAACAAAACAAAATAATAGTTTTCCCTTTATGGGGATGGGTGTAAAGATGAAAATAGACCGTAGGATGTGCTCTGCATATAGTATGTGCTCAATAAATGCTCAAAATAATAATGATAAGGACAGAGGAAATAGATGCTCTATGGGGAGGCCTCTTAAGGTTATAGGAGAAAAGATTGGTTCCTTTTAACTTATAATTGGAGGGCCGAGGATTTAGCTCAGTGGTTCTGCCACCTACCTCACAAGTACAAGGTCCCGTTTGATCCCTGGTACCCCCCCCCAAAAAAAGAAAAAAAAATTGGTAAGAACAGCTCACCCAGGACCACTCATTGATTCGTCCATGTATTCATTCATCAACACCAGAGATGCAAGACAGTGGGCCTGGGCTGTCTTTAGACCCAGAAGAGACTGGCTGGATTCCCCTCTTGGGCTCACCTGTTTGGGAGGTGCTGAGATGGGCTGGGGGTCCTGACGTTGAGGGAGCGGGTGGGTGGTCTGCGTTGGTGAGGCTGGGGAGAAAGTGTGGCCTTCCCCGGGACCCCTCGGCAGGATGGGCGCGTGCGCAGTGTAACTTCGCGCCTGGACCGCGGCCGACAGGTGGATGCGCCCGGGGCGGCCCCGCCCCCCGACAGGTGAATCACCGGCGCGCGCGGGCGCCCGGAGCCCGGATCGTGCGGAGTGGAGCGGGCCCGATCTCCGCGCGGGGCTGGAGGGGAGCCACTCCCCACGCGCCCCCAAAGCATCTCCTTCACAGTTCCCAACACTCCAGTCCTTTTAGGGGTGCCTCAACCTATCACTCCCCCCACAGAACCCCTACGCCTGCCCCCCGAGTCGGCTCCCGAGCCCTGGCCCCTGTCTCCAAGCCCGCTCCCCCTCTGTCTCCCCCAAAGCTCTGGTCGAGGGGCGGGGCGCGCGCCAGGGCTGGAACCGGGAACCGGCCTGACCGGTCGGCAGCGGGGCGCAGAGCGTGGGAACCCGCCCGGGGCGCCGGGAGGGGCCGCGTGGGCCACAGCCAGGCAGGGCTGGGGTGAGGTGGGGTGGGGTGGGGGCACCGGGATTCCTGGCCTGTACGCCCCCTCCCGGCCCGCTATGGCGGTCGCCGCCGGCCTCCTGCCGGCCTCCTGCGGGCCTTGGGGCTGGGCCGAAAAGGGTAGAGGACCCTCTTCTCCCATCGCCACCCGCGCCCCTCCCGGGCTGTGCCCCGACTTGTTTCGCTGGGGGCCAGTGTGCGTGTGTGGGGGGAGTTGTGGTGACGCTAAGAACTGAGTCACCTGCTTGAGGTCAGATCCAGGCTTCTGGGATGAGCCTGAGGAGAGAGGGACCCGCTGGGGCGGGGGGTGGGGTGGGGGTGTCCTGTAGTTGTGCCAAGACCCTCCTTCGCCACCCCCTCCCTGTGCCCCATGGAGGGTTCCAGTCTTCCTTTGTGTGTGTGAGACAGGGTCTCACTGTGTAGCTCAGGGTGGCCTTGAACTTACTAGGGGGCCCAGGCTGGTGATCCTCCTGCCTCAGCCTCCCCAGTGCTAGGATAACAGGCATGCTGCCACCACTCCTGGCTGAGGTTTCCAGTCTTAAAAAGTAATCCCTCCCCAGATCTCATTTCCCTCCCACGCAGGCTGGCTTGGTGAGCTTGGGAAGGAGGCTGCCTGTTGAAGGACCGCCCTGTAACCCTAACCCCCCAACACCCTGTCTGGGATGAAGGTTGTGTGTTTTAGAGAAAGGAGCTGTGGATTCCTAGGAGACTTCCTGCTGCCCGTGTGAGGGAGAGCTGCCCACATCCGCGGGTGGGCGAGGCTGTGGTTGTTGTCTGTTTGCCAGGCCAGTACTCCAGCTGGTGTGTCCTTCTGTACGCCTCTGGCCTCTGGTTTCTGCGTCGGTCTCGCTGTGTGCTGGGTAGTTGTCTTCTACAGTGTGAGGCTTCATTTGCTGTTCCCTCTGCCTGGAATGCCCTTCCCCACAGAACTCTTTGGTTTCCTTTTCACCTTCTTTAGTCTGTGAAGATATAATAGCCAAGCTGGGCATGGTGGCGCATACCTATAATCTAAGCACTCTGGGAGGCTGAGGCAGAAAGATCTCCAATTCAAGCCCAGCCTGGGCAACCTGGTGAGATCCTGTCTCAAAATAAAAAAATATTTTTAAAAAGGGCTGGTGATGTAGCTCAGTTGGAAGGTCCTGGGTTTAATTCTCAAATTCACGGTACTGGAAAACTCTCTCTCTCTCTCTCTCTCTCTCTCTCTCTCTCTCTCTCTCTCTCTCTCCATCATTCCATCCCACTTCATCTGTGTGGGAGTTTCCTGTGATTGCTATAACAAATTACCACAAACTGGGTGGCTTAAAACAACAGAAATATATTCTCTGGGAATTTTGGAGGTGACAAGTATGGGATGAGAGTGTTGGCAGAGCCATGCTCCTTTCAGCAGTTCTGTGGAATAATTCCCCCCTGCCTCTTCCAGCTGCTGGTGGCTCCAGGAGTTCTTTGACCGTAGCTGCCCACCCCACTCTGCCTGCCCCTGGCTGCACGGGTCCTTCTGTCCTTTCCCCCTTCCAACTCTCCTGCCATCCTCCGCCCCGTCATACTGGGGACTGAACTCAGGAACTTGCGCTTTCTGGCCAAGCGCTCTATCAGTAACCTACATCCCTGGCCCTTTTTATTGTTTTGTTTGGAGACAGGGTCTTGCTAAATTGCCTAGGCTGGACTAGAACTTGCGATCCTCCTACGTTAGCCTCCCAAGGGCTGGTATTATGGGCAAGCAGCAACACACCTGGCCCCTTTTTCTAAAAATGGCCATAGCTACAGGTTCTGGGACACGGACGCATTGTTTTGGGGGCCACCACTGAGCTCACCACACCCTTCGTAGGCCTTATGACATACACCTCCTGCTGCCAGCCTGTTGTATATTAATCTGTCACTTTTCTGTGTTCTCTTTGCCTGACCTGGCTGTGAGGATCAACAGGGTAAGAACCACTTTTACAGTGTTCGCTGCTGTGTTTTACTAGTTAGTGAGTATTTGTTGCAAGAATGAACAAGTGTGTGTTTGCCAATTTCTCTGCTCGGTGTGTCTTGTCTCTTGTGTGTATCTTTGTCTGAGGCTGCCCTGCCCTGGCTGGTGCCCACCGCACTTCTCTGCCCACAGGTGCCCACCAGGCTGGGTAGGTGAGAGGTGCCAACTGGAAGACCCCTGCCACTCGGGGCCCTGTGCTGGCCGAGGTGTCTGTCAGAGCTCGGTGGTTGCAGGCACTGCCCGCTTCTCCTGCCGGTGCCCCCGTGGCTTTCGAGGTGAGGACAGAGGGACATCTGGAGGGGAACCCAAGGCCAGCAGAGATGTGGCCAGCCCCAAGCTCACTGTCTCCTGCATCCTTCAGGTCCAGACTGCTCCCTGCCGGACCCCTGCCTCAGCAGCCCTTGTGCCCACACTGCCCGCTGCTCCGTGGGGTCTGATGGCCGCTTTGTCTGCTCCTGCCCTCCTGGCTATCAGGGCCGCAGCTGCCAAAGTGACATGGATGAGTGCCGGGTGGCCGGGCTCTGCCGCCATGGTGGCACCTGCCTCAACATGCCTGGCTCCTTCCGTTGCCAGTGCCCGGGGGGGTACACGGGGCCCCTGTGCGAGGACCCTACGGTGCCCTGTGCTCCTTCGCCTTGCCGCAATGGGGGCACTTGTAGACAGAGCGGTGATCTCACCTACGACTGTGCCTGCCTGCCTGGTGAGTGAGCTGTCCCTCTGGGGGATGTTGTGGCGCTGGGGACAGGAAGCCAGCTCCGCAGTGATGTCTCCGTCCCCTCCTCCCATCCTAGGGTTTGAGGGTCAGAACTGTGAAGTGAATGTAGATGACTGTCCAGGACACCGGTGTCTCAATGGGGGAACCTGTGTGGATGGTGTCAACACCTACAACTGCCAGTGTCCCCCAGAGTGGACAGGTAGGTGCCAGGGCTGCAGGAAGCTGGGCAGCAGACCCTGGCTGGGCCAGGTCACCCACCAGGTGGCTGGACTGGTACCTCTGTGTGCCACAGGCCAGTTCTGCACGGAGGACGTGGACGAGTGTCAACTGCAGCCCAACGCCTGCCACAACGGGGGCACCTGCTTCAACACTCTGGGTGGCCACAGCTGTGTATGTGTCAATGGCTGGACCGGTGAAAGCTGTAGTCAGAATATTGATGACTGTGCCACAGCCGTGTGCTTCCATGGTGCCACCTGCCATGACCGTGTGGCCTCCTTCTACTGCGCCTGCCCCATGGGCAAGACAGGTGAGTGGCTATTTTCCCTGTACGCAATAGGGAACCATTGATGGTTCTTGAGTAGGTGAAGAGAGGCTCTCGTTTGAGCATCAGTGGCCAGGCATGGTGGCTCATGCCTGTCCTCCCAGCACTTGGGAGGCTGAGGCAGGAGGAGTGTTGTGAGTTTCAGGCCAACCTGGGCTACATAGTGAGTTCAAGGCCAGCCTGAACTACAAAGTGAGACCCTGTCTCAAAAAAAAAAAAAAAAGAAAAGAAAAGAAGAAAGAAAGATCATACTGGGAGCTGGGCATGGAAGTGTGCATACCTGTCATCCCAGCTACTTAGAAAGTTGTGGCAAGAGGATTGAAAATTTGAGCCCAGCCTGGGCAACTTAGCGAGATCCTGGTCCAAAATAAAATAGAGAAGGGCTGGAGATGGAGCTCAATGGTAGAGCGCCTCTGAATTCCATCTTCAGTACTGGTGGGAGGAGGCGGGAGAAAGAAAAGAAAAGTGGTCCTGGGGCTAGGCATGTAGCTCAGCGGGCAGCGGTGCAGCGCCTGCCTGGCAAGCATGAGGCCCTGAGTTCGATTCCTGGTACCAAAAAAAGTAAAAATAAATAAAAATAAAAAGAAAGATGATCCTGGAGCTGGGGTGTAGCTCAGTGCTAGAGCATGTGCTTAGTATGTGCCAGGCCCCAAGATCCATCCTCAGCACCGAGGGAGGGAGGGAGGGAGACACCAAAGGAAGGTGTGCAGGAGGCTGGATTTGGGTTGAAGGGTAGGCCGGAGAGAGGCTGGGGAGGAAGCTGGCACACAGTCAAAGGCAGAAACCATTGGAATGGGTAACTGTTGGAAGGTGCAGCCAAGAAAGAGTGAGGAGTTTTGGAAGTGCAAAGGTCAGAGAAGTTATCTAGGAGGGAGACTTGGGAATGCAGAGAGGGTGCGGCTGCCAGAGGGTAGTGCAAGGGCAAAGGCTTGAGGGTAGAACTCTTTTGGAAAGTCCAGTGTGAGGAAGTAACCGCTTGAGCTAAAGCCGACCCAATAGAACTCTTTTGGAATCAGAAGAGTCAGTAGGTTTTAAAACAATGTGCTTGCACCTTTTCGGGGTTTTTTGTTTGTTTTTTCCAAGTGGCTTAGTAAGAAAATTAACAGAGTAGCAAGAGTGGAATTTGGGCAGTGGCTATATGAATGATCAAGTTTTCTGCATGTGTAATTTTCATAATAGATAGATTAAAAAGCTACTAAATCATAGAGAATTGTATTAAGGACTCATTAAAAGGAACCTATTTAAAAAAAAGCTACTAAATGCTCTGCAGGTTAATAAAACCCCAAACAAGGGTTTGGGAGTGCTGCTCTGTCATCTCAGAGGTGCAGGGTTCAATCCCCAGCACTAGCAGCCTCCCTCCCCCCAAATGCCAGGGGTGAGGGTCAGCCCTTGACCTCTGCCTGCCCTTTCTCAGGGCTGTTGTGCCACCTGGATGACGCCTGTGTCAGCAACCCGTGTCACGAGGATGCTGTCTGCGACACGAACCCCGTGAACGGCCGGGCCATCTGCACTTGTCCACCTGGCTTCACCGGCGGGGCTTGTGACCAAGATGTGGATGAGTGCTCCATTGGTGAGGGCCACCTCCTGGGGATGACATGAGAAAGAGGGGTGAGGCTTCGGCCTGCCATGCCCACGCCGGCTGTGCCCCAACCCCACAGGTGCCAACCCATGTGAACATCTGGGTCGTTGCGTGAACACGCAGGGGTCGTTCCTGTGCCAGTGTGGTCGTGGCTACACTGGGCCTCGCTGTGAGACTGATGTCAACGAGTGTCTGTCAGGGCCCTGCCGCAATCAGGCCACTTGCCTTGACCGCATTGGCCAGTTTACCTGTATCTGCATGGCAGGTGCGTGGTGGGTGTGTGTGGTGGGTCCTCAGATTGGGGGTGTGGGGAGGGAAGCCCATAGGGTGAGACTGAGTGTAAAGTGAAATTCTAAGCCAGTGTGGTGGCATGCACCTGTAACCCCAGCACCCTGAGTGGCGGAGGCAGGAGGGTCCAAAGTTCTAGCCCAGCTTGGTGACTTAGCGAGACCTTGTAATCCTAGCACCTGGGAGGCTGAGGCAGGAGGATCGCTGCAGAGTCCACCTCCCTAATCTCTCGGTCCCCTCCCCCACCCAGGCTTCACGGGAACTTATTGTGAGGTGGACATCGACGAGTGTCAGAGTAGCCCATGTGTCAACGGTGGTGTCTGTAAGGACCGAGTCAATGGCTTCAGCTGTACCTGCCCCTCAGGTGAGGAAAAGAGGGTCTGTACAGGCACCGAGGCTCCAGGGTGGGAACCTATAAGGCCGACCATGTTAGATGATTTAATGAGAAACCACATGTCCTGAAGAGATTGGAATGAATTTAAAACCGAGTAAATGAGATTGCCTTCACAAACACAGCAGCGTGGGTCAGGGGACTGCTGTGACCCTAGCTGGGCATCCTGCCGTCCTTTCCTTCCCAGGCTTCAGCGGGACCACTTGTCAGCTCGATGTGGACGAATGCGCCAGCACGCCCTGCAAGAACGGCGCTAAGTGCGTTGACCAACCAGACGGCTACGAGTGTCGCTGTGCGGAGGGTGAGGGCGGAGCCAATGAGAGTCCAGGAAGGGCCTGGAGGCGGGGCTGGAACAGCAGGGGGCCAAGAACAGGCCTGGGGAGGCGGGGCTGCAGCAAACAACGGGCCCAGGGACAGCTGGGGGTGGAGCTTATGAAATAGAATGAGGTAATGCTAGGGGTGGGGCCAACGGGTCTGGCCAGGTACAGGAATATGTAAATGTAGGGGCCGGTTCTCCTATACCTTCCTCAGGTACCTCACAGGTGCCCATCTCCAATCAGGGGCGGGGCTGGTAGTGTAAGGACTAGAGTTGGGGCCACAGTTGGGAGTGGGATGTAATTGTGGGAGGGCCCTGGAGCTGGTCCCAATAGAGGCAAGCTGGAGGCGGAGTCTGAATTGAGCCCGCCTCCTGTTGACTCAACGGGCAGGGCTAACAGAGTTCGGAATTGGGTGGAGGCCATAGCTGTGGGCGGGCCATGGCAAGTGGGCGGAGCCTGAAGCTCTGGCCTTGCAGGCTTCGAGGGCACGCTGTGTGAACGCAATGTGGATGACTGCTCTCCGGACCCGTGCCACCATGGGCGCTGCGTGGATGGCATCGCCAGCTTCACCTGCGCCTGTGTGCCAGGCTACACGGGCACGCGCTGCGAGAGCCAGGTGGATGAGTGCCGCAGTCAGCCCTGCCGCCACGGGGGAAAATGCCTAGACCTGGTGGACAAGTACCTGTGCCGCTGTCCTCCTGGCACCACAGGTGAGGCTGAGGCTGGCCTGGGGCGGGAACTGTCTTACCTGGAAGCCACAGAGGGTTGAGGAGTGGTGCGTGACCGTGGTGACCTTTCTTCCCATGTTCCCTTCCCCAGGCGTGAACTGTGAGGTTAACATCGATGATTGTGCCAGCAACCCCTGCACCTTCGGAGTCTGTCGTGATGGCATCAACCGCTATGACTGTGTCTGCCAGCCTGGCTTCACAGGTGGGCAGATAGCAGCCACAGACACCGGTCCTGGTGGCTGGATTTCCTCCCATCTTTGCCTACACGGGTCCAGGGTAGGCATCGTCCACACCATGCCCTGAGATTCACATTGGCATGGCACCAGCCTCATAATGGCTCATGATTATCCTGGTATAAAAATGAAGCTGTCCACACTCGAGACCAGGTTGTGTCTGAGGGGTATTAAGGTAATCCTTGGTCGGTGGAAATGGAAGTGTTCTGGGACCACGGAGCTGAGTTGAAGAGGTGGCTGTTCTCATTTGCGTAAGCCCTGGTTAAAAAAAAAAAGGTTCTTAGCTGGGCTGGTGGCACACGCTTGTCATCCCGGCACTCAGGGGGCTGAGGCAGGAGGATCTCCATGAGTTTGAGGCCAGCCTGGGCTACACAGTGAGTTCAAGGCCAGCCTGAATTACATGGCAAGACCCTGTTGAGAGAGACAGAGAGAGAGAGAGAGAGAGAGAGAGAGAGAGAGAGAGAGACAGAGAGAGAGGTTCTTGCTATCCGTTGCCCAGGTGCCGTGCCGAATGTTGGAACAAGGTGTCCTTTCCTGGTTGGCTCCACCATCCTGTCCTGGGACGAGGTTGCTTTTGTGTTTCCCAGGGCCCCTCTGCAATGTGGAGATTAACGAGTGTGCGTCCAGCCCTTGTGGCGAGGGAGGCTCCTGCTTGGATGTGGAAAACGGCTTCCGCTGCCTCTGTCCACCCGGCTCCTTGCCTCCGCTCTGCCTACCCCCAAGCCATGCCTGTGCCCACGAGCCGTGCAGTCACGGCGTTTGCCACGATGCACCTGGCGGGTGAGGCCCCTCCCCAGCAGCCTGACCTCCTTGCGATCTCCCTGGCCATTGGCCACGCCTGACCACCTCCCCTGCCAGGTTCCGATGTGTGTGCGAGCCTGGCTGGAGTGGCCCCCGCTGCAGCCAGAGCCTGGCTCGAGACGCCTGCGAGTCCCAGCCATGCCGGGGTGGAGGCACCTGTGTCAGCGACAGAATGAGCTTCCACTGCACCTGTCCCCCTGGAGTCCAGGGTGTGTGTCCCCACCTTTCCTCCCTATGTCTCCCTGACGTCCCTTTTTTTTTTGGTACCGGGGATCGAACTCGGGTCCTTGCGCTTGCAAGGCAGGCAGAGGAACCACTGAGCTAAATCCCTAGCCCTTGACATCCTTTTTTTTTTGGACCAGGGATCGAACTTGGGGCCCTGTGCTTTCGAGTCAGGCACCAGAACCACTGAACTAAATCCCCAGCCCTTCCTGACATCCTTGTCCTCATTTCCTTTCTACTTTACTCTCTTCTATATTTGTTCCTTTTCTGCTTCTCTTTTTTCACCTAAGGAGCTCCTCCAGGGAGGTGGCTATCAAGGTGGGGGGACCCCAGGGAGGGAGGAAATTGGATGTTTCTCAAGACAATCTCACTCTGCTGGGTAAGGTGGTACAGGCCTGTAATTTCAGCACTCTGGAGGCTGAGGCAGGAGGATCACTATGAATTCGAGGCCAGCCTGGGCTACATAGCGAATTCAAGGCCAGCCTGGAAAAGAGCAAGACCCTGTCTGAAAGCTCAAAAACAAACATAAAAAGATGATCTCACTCTACCTGTCCCCCTCCTACAGGCCGTCAGTGCGAAGTGCTATCCCCCTGCACCCCAAATCCCTGTGAGCATGGGGGCCGCTGTGAGTCTGCCCCTGGCCAGCCGGTTGTCTGCTCCTGCCCCACGGGCTGGCAAGGTACACTGGTGACTGCTTCCTCCTCTTCCTCTTCTTCACCTCCTCTGTCTTTGTCCCCCACTGGGTGATATTGGGAGCCCCATGGGGGACTCACCCTCAGGCTTGCCTTTGTGGGAAGCTTCCTTCCGGGGAAAGAGCTGAATGTGAACACTCGCAGCTCATGGGGTCAGCAGTGGAGAAGAGGAAGTGATACGGGGCTGGGAATGCTAGGACCCAGTTGAGGGTTGGGGACAGCTCCTGAGTAGGGATTGCCACCCACTAAGATGGCAGAAGGATGTTCTGCTACAGCATGTGTGAAATGCTCAGAGACAAATGGCATTTCTTGTCTTTATCTCAGCCTGTAGCTTCTCCCTGAGCCCCAAGTAGCCTCAGACCCTGCCTTGCACTCTGTAACTCTAGCTGTGTCCTTCCTCCCTGCCCCCAGGGCCACGATGCCAGCAGGATGTGGACGAGTGTGCCAGCTCTGCACCCTGCGGTCCCCATGGCACCTGCAGCAACCTGGCAGGAAGTTTCAGCTGTACCTGCCACGGTGGGTACACTGGACCTTCCTGTGATCAGGACATTGATGACTGCGACCCCAGTGAGTTCCAGTGAGGGGCTGAGGGAGTGGTGGTGGTGGTGTTCTGTTTGTATGGTTCACACTTTTCTCTTTTTTCTTTGCCATCTCTCCATTCCTTTTTTTTTTTTTTTGTACTGGGGATTGAACCCAGGCCCTTTGCATTGAGCTATATCCCCAGCCCTTTTTTTTTTTTTTGGTACCAGAGATCGAACTTGGGACCTTGCGTTTGCAAGGCAGGCAACGGAACCACTGAGCTAAATCCCCAGCTCCCCCCCCCAGCCCTTTTTTATTTTTTATTTTGAGACAGGGTCTTACTAAGTTGCCCAGGCTGGGCTCATATTTGTGAGCCTCCTGCCTCAGCTTCTCTTGGTGCTGAGGTTATAGGTGTGTACCACCAAGTCTGGCAATATATTTATAATTTAATAATGTAGTTTATTTAAGTCAATATATAAAATATTATTATTTTAGGCTGGGTGTGTAGATCAATGGCAGAGCACTTGCCTATTATGTGTGAGGCTTTGGGTTCTATCCCTAGATTCCCTCTCTCTTATCCCTAGTACCTCCCCCATATGTAATCAACATTAAAATTACTATTTCTTTAAAAGCTTTTTTCGAGGAGGATTTTCACTATATAGTTCAGGTTGGCCTCAAACTTGTGGCGAGCCTTCTGCCTCAGCCTCCTGATAGTATTAAAATTATGATTTTTATTATTTTTTTGGTACCGGGGATCGAACTTGGGTCCTTGCGCTTGCAAGGCAGGCAACGGAACCACTGAGGTAAATCCCCGGCCCTAATAATAAAATTATTAACAAAATATTTTACTGTTTTCCCACTAAGTTTTCCAGATTTGATCTCTTTTTTTTTATGGTACCTGGGATTGAACTCAGGACCTTGTGCTTGTGAGGCAGGCGAGGCGACACTGAGCTAAATCCCTGGCCCCCCACATTTGAAATCCAGTGTGTATTTTACATTTACAGCACCTCTCAATTGATTTCAGCAACACTGTTAAGGGCTCAGTGACAACGTAAGTCTGGTAGCCACTACAGCAGCCGGCACAGCCTGTACAAGGCCCAGGAGTCAGAGCAGGCACAGTTCACATTGTGCCTGTCCCTTGCTGTCCTCTGGTGATTGGTTCCAGGACCCCCACAGATACGAAAATCTATGGGTGCCCAAGTCACTTGTGTAAATGGCATACTATTTTTTTTTTTTTGGTACCGGGGATCGAACTCAGGTCCTTGCGCTTGCGCAGCAGGTGGCGAAACCACTGAGCTAAATCCCCAGCCCTGGCATAGTATTTTTGAAGAACTTGCACAATTTTCCTATAGACTTTAAATGATCTCTCGATGACTTGTAACCTAATGCAGTATCGATGTCTTGTAAATACTTGTCATGCTGTGTTGTTTAGGAAAGAATGACAAGGGAAAAGTCTGTACATGTCCAGAACAACTGCAGTTTCCTCCCTCCTTTCTCGCTTCCTGTCTCTGTCTTTTGCAGGGATTCACTCACTATGTGCCCCAACCTGGCCTCAAAGTTGAGATCTTTCTGCTTCAGCCTCCTGAGTGCTGAGATTATAGACATGTGCCACCATGCCTGGCTTGATCTCTTTTTTTCAATATTTTCCATCTACTGATTAAAACCACAGGTGCTGAACCTAAGGCTGACTGTATTTGCTTGGCAGTTCAAAGGGCCTTTTTTTTTTTGAAGCAAAACATTTATTGGTACATTTTAGATATACATAACGATAACATTTGTCAAAGGGAATTTGTACCTGTACACTATATATCTCGCTTCTTTTTTTTCCATTCCCCTTCCCTCTCTTCAACCCTGCTTCCCCTCCTTATTCACGAACTTCTATTTCCATTTTTTTCCTTCTATTCTCTTTCTTCAAAGGGCCTTTTTGGTCCCCTCTCTCTCCCCTTCCATATAGGTGAGGTCTCCAGATAAGGGAGGAGATGGGGATGGAATTTGATCCCGCCGAGCAAATGTAGCCCCTACCAGTTGGATGTGTCTCCTTCTGCACCCCTCTCTGTGCAAGGCACGGCCAGGTCAGGCCAGGCTGCTGGGGAGTGAGGCGAGTGCTCAGATCTCCTCCCTTGTGACCGCAGACCCGTGCCTCAATGGCGGCTCCTGTCAGGACAGCGTGGGCTCCTTTTCCTGCTCTTGCCTTCCTGGCTTTGCTGGCCCGCGCTGCGCCCGAGATGTGGATGAGTGTCTGAGCAGCCCGTGTGGCCCTGGCACCTGCACTGACCATGTGGCCTCCTTCGCCTGCACCTGCCCCCCAGGCTATGGAGGCTTCCACTGCGAGAAGGACCTGCCCGACTGTAGCCCTAGGTGTGTGTGGGGGGCTTCGACTTGAAACCCAGGCTCTGGCGCTGGGTGGGGCTCAGGGGCCTGTGATCGAGTGGGGCGAGAGGGCGTCGTTGGCTGAGCATCCACCTAAGGAGGCTGATGGCTGATGGGGCCGTGGCATCTGTTTGGAGGTCACCTTGGCGACTGGTTCTTGAGGGAGGTGGGGCTCTGCACATGGCTCCCACTGGTCAGTTGAGGCTAAGGGATGGGGTGGCCTCTCTGGGGCTACAGCTTCCTGTGGGGGTTAAGGGTCAGGTCCAGAAGCCCCCATTCTAGGAGGGACACGGGTGATGGATCTTGAGTCTCTTCTCTCACCTCCCAGCTCCTGTTTCAATGGAGGAACCTGCGTGGACCGGGTGAACTCCTTCAGCTGCCTGTGTCGTCCTGGCTACACTGGAGCCCACTGCCAATATGAGGCCGACCCCTGCCTCTCACGGCCCTGTCTGAATGGGGGCGTCTGCAGCACCACGCACCCTGGCTTCCACTGTGCCTGCCTGGAGGGCTTCGCTGGCAGCCAGTGCCAGGTGGGCGGGGCCATAGGGTCTCAGGGGAGGAGTCTGGAGGTGTGTTCTGGGGGTGGGGCCTTTCAGGTGGGCGGAGCCATAGGTCCCGCGGGAGGAATCTGGAATTGTGTTGGCGGGAGGGGTCTGATAGATGGGTGGAGTCACAGCTCTGGAGAAGTCTGGGGGTGTGTTGCCGGGAAGGGGGCTATCAGCTGGTCAGGTCACACTCCTGGAGGAGGACTCTGGAGGTCTATTCCCGGGAAGGGACCCGTCAGGGGGTGTGGCCATACTCCTGGGGGAGGAGTCTGAGGCCGAGTTCCGGGGGAGGGGCCTGCCAGCTGGGTGGGGCCATAGTCCTGGAAGGGGGCTTGCCCCTGTCCTGGAAGAGATTCCAGGACCTCCTCTCAGCACTGAACACGTGGGGCTCCCTTTCCAGACTCTGGTTGACTGGTGCAGCCAGGCTCCCTGTCAGAATGGGGGTCACTGTGTCCAGACCGGGGCCTATTGCCTTTGTCGCCCGGGATGGAGCGGCCGCCTCTGTGACATCCGAAGCCTGCCCTGCAAGGAGGCGGCAGCCCAGATAGGTGAGGGAGGCGCATGTGGCCATGTGTGTGTGGGGTTGGGTAGGGTGTGTGTGCACGTGTGACTGTGTGACAGCCGGCTAGGATGGTGTGTGTGTCTCTTACCATGGGACGGCTGGGACGGTGTGTATGACAGAGCTGCCATAAGGATCAAAGTCACATGTGTTGGTGATTGAGAACTGCCAGCTAAGCGGCTGTGTGACATGCGACAGCCTATATGGGTGTGATCCTGGGGACTGATGCCGCAGGGTGACGAGTGTGACGAAGACAGAAAGAATGAGCCACGTGTAGCTGTCTCCGTGCCTGATGCCCCTCTCAACTCTTTCCAGGGGTGCGGTTGGAACATCTGTGTCAGGCAGGCGGGCAGTGTGTGGACAAGGGCAGCTCCCATTCTTGTGTGTGTCCAGAGGGTCGCACCGGCAGCCACTGTGAGCAGGAGGTGGACCCCTGCCTGGCCCAGCCCTGCCAGCACGGGGGCACCTGCCGAGGCTACATGGGGGGCTACATGTGTGAGGTAAAGCTGTGCCCCTGGGAGAGGGAAGGGAACCAGCATTCTGAGTGGATACAGGCACACATTTCTGTGTGTGGCTTGGTGTGGGTTTGTCTCTCCTCTAGGCTCCTTACAGTCTTGCTTTGGGAGTAATCTGTGGGTGTCACAGTGGTTAGATATGGAGGTCTGTTTCCATCTGGTGCTTCCGTCTGTGTGGCATCTCCTTGGGGATGAGTGGATGTGGCAGTGTTTGTGTGTGTCTCGTTGTGTGTGTCTTGGGGACGTCCGGGTGGTTCTCCTGTGTGTGTCCCTCTGGACTGGGTGTGCTGGTGGCCTGGGTGTGTCTCTGCGAATCTGGTGTGTGTGTGTGTGTGTGTGTGTGTGTGTGTGTGTCCTTGTGTGCTGGGATTCTCCGTGTCTTCACAGGGGTGCCTAGGCAGGTCTGTGGTCCTTGGGGCTCAGTGGGTCCTCCTTTTGCCTCAACACAGTGTCCAGCTGGCTACTCTGGCGACAACTGTGAGGATGATGTGGACGAGTGTGCCTCTCAGCCCTGCCAGCATGGGGGCTCCTGCATTGACCTCGTGGCCCGCTATCTCTGCTCCTGTCCCCCTGGGACACTGGGTATGCCAGGGCCAGGATCGGGGGACAAGACAGGAGGCTGAATCTGTCTGTCACTGACTGCTCATCCTCCTCCCCCAGGAGTGCTCTGTGAGATCAACGAGGATGACTGTGGCCCAGGCCCATCCCTGGACTTGCGCCCCCGATGCCTGCACAATGGTACCTGTGTGGATCTTGTGGGTGGTTTCCGCTGTAACTGCCCCCCAGGATACACTGGCCTGCACTGCGAAGCAGACATCAACGAGTGTCGTCCTGGGGCCTGCCACGCAGCACACACCCGGGACTGCCTGCAAGACCCAGGTGGACGCTTTCACTGCCTTTGCCATACTGGCTTCACAGGTAAGCAAGAAAGGTAAGGGGCGGCCTGGCACACTGCCTTTCCTTCCTCCATTGTGTCTGATCGCCCTGTCCGTGCTTGTCCAGGTCCCCGCTGTCAGACTGCCCTATCTCCTTGTGAGTCCCAGCCATGCCACAACGTGGGCCAGTGCCGCCCCAGCCCAGGACCTGGGGGTGTGCTGACCTTCATCTGCCACTGTGTCCAGGTAGGTGGAGTGGCACGGGTGGCAACCTCTGTGTGGAGAGGGTGTGGCCTCAGCGAAGGGTGTGGCTTTGAGGGAGAAGTGGATGGGAAAGGGGTTCCTGGGCAATGCAGAGATTACCTAGAGTTGGGAGCTTGTTGGAGTAGGGTTGGGGCTTGGAGGCGTGGCCTCCCGGAGAAGGCGTGGCTTCCCAAGTAGGGCATGGCCTGGGGAAGGTGTGGCTTTCTCGGAGGGCGTGGTTTGTCTGTCACGTGCGGCCTCTAGGGGAACCTGGAGGAATTGGGCAGGAGTTGGAGAGGTTGAGGCCCAGCCTCTTCCGAGCCTTGACTCTTCACTGTTTCATCTCTTGACCCCCATCCTCTTCTCTACCCTCCCATTTCTGCTCTTCACTCTCTTCCCCCCTCTTCCCCCCATTGTCTGCCCACCCCCAGCCATTCTGGGGTCCTCATTGCGAGCACGTGGCGCGCACCTGCCGGGAGCTGCAGTGCCCACCGGGCGTCCCCTGCCAGCAGACACCGCGCGGGCCTCGCTGCGCCTGTCCCCCGGGGCTGTCGGGGCTCTCCTGCCGCTCCAGGGCGGTGCCCCCGGGTGGCACCAATGCCAGCTGTGCGGCCGCCCCCTGTCTGCACGGGGGGTCCTGTCGTCCTGCGCCCCTCGCCCCCTTCTTCCGCTGCGGGTGCGCTCCGGGCTGGGCCGGGCTGCGCTGCGAGACCCCGGCAGCAGCGGCAGCGCCCGAGGTCGCGGAGGAGCCGCAGTGCCCACGAGCCGCCTGCCAGGCCAAGCGCGGGGACCGGCGCTGCGACCGCCAGTGCAACACCCGGGGCTGCGGCTGGGACGGAGGCGACTGCTCGCTGAACGTGGACGACCCCTGGCGGCAGTGCGAGGCGCTGCAGTGCTGGCGCCTCTTCAACAACAGCCGCTGTGACCTGGCCTGCAGCTCGCCCGCCTGCCTCTACGACAACTTCGACTGCCACGGCCGCGAGCGCACCTGCAAGTGAGCCAGGAGCCACACCGTACACCCCTGGTCCCTGCCTGTCTCTGTCCGTCCTCCCCAGTCCGCCTGCCTGTCCGCTGGGCCGCGCTTTCCTTTCTGCGCCATCCGCATGTTCAGGCGTGATCTCTGCCCCAGGGTCCCCTCCCCACCGCGCCCTGTCTCGGACCTTCCGTCCACTTGCCCTGGACAGTGGCTTGACCTTCTGCCTGCGCACTCCATTGCTCCATCCTTATGCCCGGACTGTCTGTCCTTTCTTTTTCTTCTTCCCTTTCCTCCCTTCCTCCTGGATTTGCCGGAGGCCCAACAAATGTAGCACACTCTCTTGCCCTGTGCAAGCGGAGTCGTTGCTTTGTGTTGTGCCATGTGGGGACCGCACGGTCCCTGACCCTGCCCCTCTCTGCCCCCAGCCCTGTGTACGAGAAGTACTGCGCTGACCACTTTGCCGACGGCCGCTGTGACCAGGGCTGCAACACCGAGGAGTGTGGCTGGGACGGGCTGGACTGCGCCAGCGAGGTGCCGGCTCTGCTGGCCCGTGGCGTCCTGGTCCTCACGGTTCTGATGCCACCCGAGGAGCTGCTGCGCTCCAGCGCCGACTTCCTGCAGCGTCTCAGCGCCATCTTGCGCACCTCGCTGCGCTTCCGCTTGGACTCGCGGGGCCAGGCCATGGTCTTCCCGTACCACCGGCCCAGTTCTGCTTCCGAGTCCCGGACCCGGCGGGAGCTGGCACCCGAGGTGATCGGGTGAGTGATTCCACCTGGAGGACCCACGGGGCCAAGGGAGGCCCAGGGCCCAAGAGAGGAGAGGAGGCACCACTGGATAGGTCTTGTGTGTGTCACTTCTCTTAATGTTTTGTTTTATTTTGGTTTTGGTTTTTTGGAGACGGGGTCTCGCTATGTAGTCCAGACTGTCCTTGAACTCAAGATGTTGCCCATGCTGGCCTGGAGCTCTTGATGATCTTCGTGCCTCAGCCTCCTGAGTGCTGGGATGACCGGCGTGTGCCATCACACCCGGCTTTACCTACAGGCTTCTCAACCTCTGCTCCATTGGCATTTGAGGCTGGATCCCTCTTTGCTGTGGGCTGCTGTCCTGTGGTGTGTAGGGTGTGGAGGTTTTACTCTTAGGTGCCTCTAACACCATCCCAGACGCCAGATATGAGCAAGTGTCTCCTGGTGGTAGTGGGAGGGGAGGCCCAGAGTTGCACCTCGAGACTAGTTCTACCTCCTTTGGGAGGGGCAGGTGGTTTTGCAGACTCCATAAGGGCATGCGTAGGTCTTTTTTTGGTGGGGGGAGTTAGCCTAATTTTGATTTTTCTGAAAATATCAGGAGCTATAAAAACCAGGCTGGATACCTGGCTGTACAAAAAGCAAAATACAAGTAATAATCACCCTTGAAAACCGTGTTTAACCTTAGAGAAACATGTTTCAAAATGCCACATTGAACTCTTTTTTCTTTATAGCAAAACAGGTTCACTAAACTGTAACACTGGCGTTGTTTTGTTTAACTGCAATAATTTTAAACGAAACACTCACGGAGTAAAAAGTAACCAGTTCCCACCCTGGAATCTCATCATTTATAAAAAATAATATGATCTAGCCAGGTGTGGTGGCTATGCCTGTAATCTCAGCACTTGGGAGGTTGAGATAGGAGGATCACTTTGAGTTCAAGGCCAGTCTGGGCTACACAGCCAGACCCTGTCTCAAAATCCATCCCTCCAAAAACCATGATAAGCCCTCCCCCCAAAATAAAATGTCTATCTTAGAGCAAGTCAGCTGAAGAAGGCATGAAGACCCTATCTTTCCTGTCGTCCCAAATGATACTAATGCTCTTATCCTTTCGATATGACCTCAACATCATTAAGAACCAACATGCTAGGGTGAGGACAGTAGTGCACACCTGTAATCCCAACTTTTTTTTTGGTACCGGGGATTGAACTCGGGTCCTTGTGCTTGCGCAGCAGGCGGTGAAACCACTGAGCTAAATCCCTGGCCAATCCCAACTATTTCTGAGAGTCTGAGGCAGGAGGATCACAGGTTCAAGGCCAGCCTGGGAATTTAGGAGTCTCGAAATGAAAAAGAAAGAGGGTAGAGAGGGCCTGGGATTTAGCTCAGCGGTGCCGCTGCCTGCCTCAAAAGTGCAAGGACCTGAGTTCGATCCCCGGTACCAACAAAGAAAGAAAGAAAAAACATAGAAAATGTGGTTCAATGGTAATGCTTGCCTTGCTTGCGCAAAGCCCTGGGTTCACCCCAGCTAGGTTTTTTGTTTTTATGAAAAATGTAGAATGATATTGCTGATGACCTGGGGTCAGATGGGAGGTATGGGATTTGTTGAGAATAGAGCGGGGGTCTGAGAAGGACAGGACCATGACAAAGAAAGGAAAGCGGGACCTTAGAGATGCTGGGGTGGGAAAGGCTGTGAATGGATATTGCTGGCAGTGGGGCTGGGAGGGTGAACTTGAAAACACCGAAATACAAGGGTTGGTGGAAGGAAATTAACTCAGAAAACAGGAGATGGGCTGGGGCTGTAGCTGAGTGCTAGCGCGCTTGCCTAGCATGCATGAGGCCCTGGCACTGGAAAATAAAGCCAATGCCCAGAGCGAGTGGAGTGTGGGTGCATCAGCCACCTGCTGAGCAAAGGCTGGTACCAGCAGCCTCCACCAGGGTGCGTGAGGAGAGTTACTGAAACACTGACGTGAAAATAACGTCCATTGGGTTCATGGCTCCGGGAACGCTGGTGACCACAGCAAGACCTGTTCGGGATGCTCTGGGTTGGATGGCAGCTGGGAACAGGTGGGGGTGGAGACACGGCTGGTGGAAATGGCTCTTCTGAGCCTGGTGCTGGGGAGAGAGGAGGATGTGGCTTGGTGCCTGGGATGCATTAGGTGAAGGTCGAGCCCTTGTCCTCTGCTGTGTCCCCGTAGCTCTGTAGTGATGTTGGAGATTGACAACCGGCTCTGCCTGCAGTCGCCTGAGAATGACCACTGCTTCCCTGATGCCCAGAGCGCGGCTGACTACCTGGGAGCCTTGTCCGCGGTGGAGCGCCTTGACTTTCCCTACCCACTGCGGGATGTGCGAGGTGAGATGGGACTGGGCCTTTTGCAGGGCGCTGGAGGGAGGTGGAAACCTCATCCCGGTTGAAGCCCCACCCACGACAGAAGCGCCCCACCCCCTCCCCTATTAAGCCCTGCCGCCGGTTGAAGCCCCGCCCACGGTCAGAGCCCCCGCCCGCGGTCGAAGCCCCTGCCCCATGGTTGCCGCTGTCCCTGCCTCTCCTGCAGGGGAACCCCTGGAGCCTCCAGAGCCGACTGTGCCAGTGCTGCCACTGCTGGCCGCAGGCGCCGTCTTCTTGCTGGTCATCCTCGTCCTGGGTGTGATGGTGGCCCGCCGCAAGCGTGAACACAGCACCCTGTGGTTCCCCGAGGGCTTCTCCCTGCACAAGGACGTGGCAGCCGGCCACAAGGGCCGGCGGGAGCCTGTGGGACAAGATGCGCTGGGCATGAAGTGAGGACCCTGTGTGCTCCCTGTCCCCGACTCCCTGTCCTCGTGAGCCTTGCATCCCACCGTGGTCTGGCTCTGGCCTCTGACCCCTTCTTGACCTTAGCTTCGGACTGCATCTCCGACCCAAGTTCAGGCTGTTAATTACTGGCTTCTTGATCCCTGGGGTCTCCCCTGATCCTGACTCCTGACCTTCTTTGTGTCTCCATTTCCCGGCTCAATTCCTACCCTAACCCCACCCTGAACTGGCCTCTCAGACCTCACCTTGATTCATCAGCACGTGCCTACTGACCCTAAGACCCTGGTCTGCATCCCACCCTCCCTAACCTTTGACACTGTGCTCTATGATCGCCAGTGCCACCTCTGCCTCCAACCCTCCCCTCCCTTCCCTCCTTCCCCTCCCTCCCTTCTTTCTTTCCTGGGATTAAACTGCAGGCCTCACACATGCCACTTTGTAAGGTTAACCCTGCCCTCCGTGACCTTTAACACCATCTCCTGACCCCTGGTATGTCTGTGACCCTATCTATCCCATAACCCATTGCTCTGACTTTTGACCACACTCCTGTCCCTTCTCTGATTCTACCTGAAGACTCAGGGTGCCACCTGTCACAATCCCTGACTGTGCCCCTCCTACCTTGCCCCATGCTGCCTTACCCCATCACTGGAACCTATGTCCTGAGCCTCCCCCTGAATTTATCAACCCAGGACCTTAGTCTAAACTCCTCTGCATCTTCGCTGTGACCCCACCCCAAGAAGTTCTTCACAGGCTGGAGGCCTCCAGTGCCTCACCTTCTTTTCTTCCTATACTCCACAGGAGCATGGCCAAGGGTGAGAGTCTGATGGGGGAGGTGGCCACAGACTGGATGGACACAGACTGCCCAGAGGCCAAACGACTGAAGGTGCTGCCCTCTTCTGTACCCCTTCCTCCAGGGTCCTGGGTGGGGAGTGCTCTGTTCTCCCCACCTCCCCGGCGCCAGAGAGCAGGCATAGCCCTTGTGACCTCATTTTCTTCTCTATGGTCTCTGTACCTTTAAGGGAGGAGGGGGATTTGCCATGGGGGCGCCACACAGTTCTCTGGGTGAGTCGGAGTTCCCCTACTCCTACTCCGCCCTGTTTCTCCTCAACCAGCTTCCTATTCTCACACCATCCTGGGTTCATCCCAGAGGGGACCGACCTCCTGGCCTCCTGCTCTCTTTTCTGTGGGTTCTCGCTTTGTCCAGCTTGGGCTATGTTCTGGTCCATTTTCTGTAGCTATAACAAAATACCCAAGGCTGGATAATGGATAAAGAAAGAAAGTTTATTTGGCTCTCAGTGTTGGGGCCCGAAAGCCCACGATTGGGGCTTTTCACCACTTTGGCATCTGATGGCAGGTTACATCAGTAGCAGAAGTGATGACAAGGTGAGGCAGGAGTCAGAGAGAAACTCAAGGGGAAGTCTCATTTATAGCAACCCACTCTTGTAGGAACTAATTTTAGATCTCTCGAGGACTACATTAATCCCTCCCCCCCACCACATGTTTTTTTTTTTTCTGGTACCGGGGATCGAACTCGGGTCCTTGCGCTTGTGCAGCAGGTGGCGAAACCACTGAGCTAAATCCCCGGCCCCTGTTTTTGTTTTTTGAGACAGGGTCTCTGTATGTAGTCCATGCTGGCGCTGAACTTACTGTGTAGCCCAGGCTGGCCTCGAACTCATGGAAATCCTCCTGCCTCAGCCTCTGGAGCTGGGATTATGAGTGTGCACCACCATGCCTGGCTTTTTCTTTTCTTTTTGGTACTGGGGATTGACCGGACCTTGTGTTTGCAAGGCAGGCGAACCACTGAGCTAAATCCCTGGCTGCTTGGCTTTTTCTTGATGCTATTGTTGGTGCAATTGTTCATTTCCTTTTTGATGTGGTTCCATCTCGTGTGTGTGCATCATGCACTTTGGGTTACCAGCCTCTCCCTTCTTCTGACCCAGATTGAAACTCAATTTCTTTTTTTGTACTGGGGATTGAACTCGGGTCCTTGCACTTGCGGGGCAGGCGGCAGAACCACTGAGCTACATCCCCGGCTCCAATTTCTTCCTTTCATGAGCTCCCCAAGCTCCAGCACATCCCCTTCCCATTTCCTCATCTGTGAGACACAGGATGTTAATGGTTTCCTGGGGTCCCTGTGTGCATCCCCTTGAGCAGAAGCATTGAGTCTGGGGTCTGTCTGTCCCTGCCACTGGCAGTGTCTCTCCTACATCCTTGTCCTTCCAGATGGAGGAGCCTGGTGTAGGTGCCAAGGAGCCTGTGGATTGTCGTCAGTGGACCCAGCACCACCTGGTAGCTGCTGATATCCGCGTGGCACCAGCCATGGCGTTGACCCCACCACAGGGTGATGCAGATGCTGATGGCATGGATGTCAACGTTCGTGGCCCAGGTCAGGGTCCCTCCCCCAGGGAGGCTCCACCCCTCCCATTTGGGAACAGTTCCAGGGAGAGTCCAGGCTGTGCCGGGTGTGTGTTCTCTTGTGTGCAAATGGTAAAAGCCTAACTTTGTCTAGCTTAAGTACAACAGGGTATTTATGGGCAGATGGCTGGATTTGGTATTCTGCTCTCTACTTAACTTTTTTTTTTTGCGGTATTGGGGATCGAACTCAGGATCTGGTGCTTTCGAGGCAGGCACGGCACCACTGAGCTAAATCCCAGGCCCTCCACCTACCTTTTTTTTCCCCCCAACACTAGTGGTTGAACTCACTAAATTGCTAGGCTGGGCTCAAACTTGGATCCTCCTGCCTCAGCCTCCTAGAGTGCTGGGATTACAAGTGTGCATCTCCATGCCTGGATTCTGCTGAGGTCAGAAGCTTCTGCTGAACTACTTCTTGGCTCTGGTGTTATAATATCTTCCTGCTGAGCGTGGTAGCTCATGCCTGTAATTCTAGTAATCCCAGCTACTTGGGAGGCTGAATCAGGAGGATGGCAAGTGCAAAGCCAGTCTGGGCAACTTGGCGAGAACTTGTCTCAAAACAAACAAACAACAACAACAACAAATATATATATATATATAAAATATTAGCTCAGTGAGGTGCATGTCAATAATCCCAGTACTGAGAGGCTGAGGCAGGAGGATCACCATAAGTTGGAGGCCAGCCTGGGCTACATAGGGAAGCTCAAAGCCAGCCTGAGCTATATAGTGAGAACTTGTCTCAAAAATCCAGAAATAAAATAAAGTAAAATGAAATGGCTAGGGATGTGCTTCAGTGATAGAATGGCCTTATGTTTGATTCACAGTACAACAAAACAAAACAAAACAAAAACACTTTGCATTCTGATTGGATAGACTAGGAGACTTGCTGATCCTTACCCAGTCGGAGGTAGCTGGCTGGATTATGTAGATCGACTGGTCCTGGCCATTGCCCAGCTGAGTCTCCGGGCCTGGGAGGGAGGGGTGTTGGGCTGTAAGCAGGACTTGAGGCTGGAGCATGGAGTGCACATGGCGCCCTAAGGAAAACCAAGACTGCTCACGACCAGTGTAGCACCCTGTTCATACTGAGGTCCTCTCAGATCCCGCTCTGCTGTGTTCCAGAGAATTCTTCCTAGCTCTGCTTTCTCTAAACAGCCTGTTCTTGTGGCTGTGCAAGTCCCCCATGCTCCTGGGTGTGAAGAGCATGTGATTTTCTGTCCCTGGCCCTGGTTCTTGACCAGCGGGCGCCTGGCCTGTTGCCACTCTTTCTTGTCGTGTGTCTCCCGACTCTGAATAGCGTGTCCTTGATGTGACCTTCTGGAAGGGCCCCTATGCCTCTGTGACACGTTCCTTCTGGTCCCCGCAGATGGCTTCACCCCGCTCATGCTGGCCTCCTTCTGTGGGGGAGCCCTGGAGCCAGTGCCTGCAGAGGAGGAGGAGGTGGAGGACACGTCGGCTAGCATCATCTCCGACCTGATCTGCCAGGGGGCGCAGCTCGGGGCTCGCACCGACCGCACGGGCGAGACAGCCCTGCACCTGGCTGCCCGCTATGCCCGGGCCGATGCGGCCAAGCGGCTGCTGGATGCTGGGGCCGACACCAACGCCCAGGACCACTCGGGCCGCACCCCTCTGCACACGGCTGTCACTGCCGACGCCCAGGGCGTCTTTCAGGTGAGACAGGGGCCCTACTCCCGGAGGTTGGAGCCAGTAGGCATCAGATCTGCCCAGCCTGGAGCCCTGGTTCTATCTTTCAGAGCTTTTTTCTGATTTGGAAGATGAGGTCAGACCCAAGCACAGTGTCTGCCAAAAACAGAAGGGACCTGACTTATGATATTTATTTTCTTTCTTCGTTTTTCTGTGGGTCCTGGGTAATGAACCCAGGGCTTTGCCCATGCTAGGCAAGGTCTTACTAAATTGTCCAGGCTGTGGGAAGGATAGGGAAAAGGAAAGAAGAGAAAAGAAAAAATATAAGAAAAGGAAAAAATGGAAACAAAATCTCTATAAATAGGGAAGGGTGGAGGGGGTGAAGGGAGGCCAGGGGAAGGGGGAAAAAATAAGAACCAAGATACATCATGTAATGGCACAAGATCCCAACAATGAATGTAACTGTATTTTATACCTAAAATGTACCAATAAACTTAATGAAAAAAAAATTGTCCAGGCTGGGCTCAAACAAGGGCTCCTCCTGCCTCAGCCTCATAAAGAGCTGGGATTATAGGCATATGCCACCATGCCCAGCTGATTTATCTTTTGTGTGTGTGTGTGTGTGTGTGGTACTGGGGATCGAACTCAGGACTTTGTGCTTGCCAGGTAGGCGCAGCGCCACAGAGCTACATCCCCTGGCCTGTTTTTGTTTTTTTTTTTGGTACTGGGGATTGAACTTGGGTCCTTGTGCTTGCTCAGCAGGAGGTGAAACCAGTGAGCCACATCCCTGGCCCTGCTTTTGTTTTTTGAGACAGGGTCTTGCTCTGAAATTCAGGCTGGCCTTGAACATGTAGTGATATTCCTGCCTCAGCCTCCTGAGTGCTAGGATTACAGACATGAGCCACCAGGCCTGTGATTTATCACTTTTTGACATTTTTTTCCCCCCAGTACTGGTGATGTAACCAAGATCCTTTGCACTGAGCTGCATCCCCAGCTCCTTTTAAATTTTAAAAGTTTGAAACAGGCTCTCCCTAAGTTAGCCAAGCTGCACTCGAGCTTGAGACCTCTCTGCCTTGGCCTCCTAAAGAGCTGGGAGCACTGGCGTGTATCACCATGCCTGGCTTCACTCTGTTTTGACTTTATAATGTTGCAGAAGTGTAAGTAGACAACCATCCTGTTTTTCACTTCAGTATTATATTCAATGAATTCCATGAGATATTCAGCATTGTTTTTGCTTTGTGTTCTGGGATTGAACCCAGGCCCCCCTCACATGTCCTAGGCAAGTGCTCTACCCCAGAGCCACATTCCCAGCCCTACACTTTATTATAAAAATAAGCTTCATGTTGGGTGGTTTGGCCCAATTGTAGTCTAATGTAAGGTTTCTGAGCATATTTAAGGCTGAGCTGTAGCTGGGCAGAGTGGCGCACGCCTGTCATCCCAGCAGCCTGGGAGACGGAGGCAGGAGGATCCCAAGTTTGAGCCCAGCCTGGGAAACAGCGATTTAGCGAGACCCTGTCTCAAAATAAAAATCAAAACAGGGCTGGAGATGGAGCTCAGTAAGAAGACTCTAGGTTCAATGACCCCCCCGCCCCCCTTTTTCCCTTAAATTCTTTTATTGGTACATTTTAGGTATACAATACGTTTACATTTATCATTGGTTGTTTGTACCTGTACATGATGCATCTTGGTTCTTATTTTTCCCCATTCCCTGCCCTCCCTTCACCCCCTCCACCCTTCCCTATTTA